GATCCAACCGATCGGATCCATGCGTCAAATCCTGATGTCATCAAATCCAAGGCTAAAAGTGATTGCTACCTAACCAACGGTAGACTTATATCACAAACCCATCTTCAGCGGCATCGGCGCAGCAGCGGCTGTGGGTAAGAACCCGGCAGCGTTGGAGGATTGCTCGCTAGCCCGCGATGGTCTTCCGTTTCTCCGATCATGGAGGAGGCCGTCGTTGGTCTTGGTTGATCGGAACAGGCGAAGGGGTGAAAGGTGGTGGCGGCCGGACGATGGATGGGGGAGAGGTGGCGGCTGCTATGCATAAAGTGGGAGTTAGGTTAGGGTTTGAGTGGGTAAGGTTTTAAACGAGGGAACAAGGGGGAATGAAACCGGGTTCAAGTCCCGTGTTCTAATGAAACCCTGATACATTATTACAAGTTTAGCCCCCGTCTCCACAATTTAATTCAGATAAGGTCCAATATTTACACTACAGCCCCTGCTCTACAAAATTCCTTTCAGTACAAGTCCAAAAATTACCAATTAGCCCTCCCTCTAGAAAATCTTCTCATCTTAGGTCCAGAACTTACTCTTTAGTCCCTGCTTCCATAAATCCTTATATATTAAGTCCAAATAATACCAAACACCCCTTGACTTATGAAAATCTTTACAAATTAAGTCCCAAAATTACACTTTAACCCCTGGAGATTCAAATCTTGTCATTTGGCTTCCCGAAACCAACTCCCAGCTAATTATTAATTTGGTTTCAGATTATTATAATATTAAATAATAATTAGAATTACTTCTCGGGGCTCCTGATTTATTATTTAATTACTCTACTTAAAACGGGATGTTACACAGGCCATTCAGATAGTCTTCCATACGATCTGTCCATTGATCGTAGTACTCTGGAATCAGCATTGGAATTTTAGTTGATGATCCAAGTAGATGAGAATAAGAAGTCATCGTATTCAAGTTGAAGTTCGCCATTGATGAACAAACGAGAAAATTTAGAAAACTTAGAAATCTTGATGAATTTGAAATTTGATCAAATGAATTGATCAGGAGCTTGTAATCGATCACTCGATTATACAATTCAAATGCAGAATCTAATCAAATCTGTAGATCAGACGTGATTTTCAGAACCAAAACGCGGAAACTTTTTGAGACGAGAAATGACTCAAAAACAAATGATTCAAAGTGAAAATCAGATCATTGCAGTTTGATTCCTGCTCTGATACCAATTGAATAGGAATTGTAACGAGAAATCGAATAGAATCAGAGTTAAACAAGCAAAATATCAATTAAGAACACGGAATGTAAATAGAATATGGTTTCAGCTCATATTACTCTCAAATGAACAAGAGTACAAAAGTACACAACATTCAGGGAAAACTCGTTATCTAACTCTATGTTCAGTCCCTATTTATAGGAAACTGAGAGTACAAAAAATACTAAGTCTAAGCGTTACGCTTCGAACATGAAAATGACTTAGTAAATATATTACATACGAAATACAGTACACACTTCGACTCTTTACAACAAGACTTCGAACCTAACAAAAGCTTCATAAAGCTTGAGGCTTTATATCTATAAGGGCCTAGAGGAGTCCATATCTGAAGTTACAACTTCAAACCATGCTCAAAATCAGAAATGCTTCAAAGATAAACTAGAAATGGCCCTAAACTCTTGGATGAATAGATCTAGTAAGAGAATGATCAAGGTAATGACTTTTTACCTTCAAATGAATGCCAAAACGATGTAGATGTTGGATCTACAAGCCCCCTCTCGTTCCAAGCTCCTAACTCTTCAAACCTCTTCAAGAAATGCACCAAATACACACTTTTAGCCTCACACACACTCAAAATAGGGTTAGATCGATTAGGTTTTGCTTATGGACGTGAAAAGGTGGTAAGGAGGCTGGAAGGAAGGACTTAAGGTCCTTTAAATATGGTGCAAACCCTAAAAATTAGGGAACAAACTCATCGAGTAGGTCTCTAATAAGGAATATAAAACTTTAAAATCTATACCTGGGAGTCGGGGTGTTACAAAAACGTCCTGGTGCTTTACACATTATATAAGATAACTTCGATATATTAACATCAAAAGCCTTTTAGCCTAGTGGCAAGTGGGGTTAATATATGAGAGGTGGTAACTTTGTGTGTATTTTTTTAGATAAAGAGAAGTCGTTGACATGGCTTGCCCACGTCAGCTCCACGAATATGTCACCGCCACCAAGGCCACAAATGATTTATTATGGAGGGGAAATCGGCTAAATAGTAAATGAGAACAAAATCTCGCAAATGTGTGGTACCACACATTTGGTGTAAATTAGGGGCTTTTATGCGAATAGCTCTATAAAATATTTTAGATAGATAATAATAAATTAGTTAAATTTGTAGGAGAAGATTTTTGAAAGATGCTAACTATTAAAAAAAGTATTTAATAAATGATTAAGATTAGTTGGGTTTAGAACGTCGTGAGAAAGTTCAGTATTTTTAAAGGGGTAATGACTTAAAAGGGTAATATATTTTTCAATTTGTACACATTTGGTCACTGAGTTTTTTTTTCGTCTACATTTACCCCTTCGACTTGTTAAACTATACACATTCGGTCCTTATGATCGGCTACTCCAGTTTAGCCGGTAAAAATGACTTAATAGGATAATATATTTCTCACTTTGTACATATTTAGTCTTTAGTATTTTTGTACACATTTAGTCATTAATATATTTTTTTCGTTGCAAAAAGTCATTTTTGTTTTTGTACTCATTCAGTACTTATGAATGATTTTTTTAGGTTTTTCTCACGACATCTTACGTAGGACATTCATTAATGAGGTGTTTGGGACTTTTAATGCTTATGTCCATCGCGATCTTGACTACTTAGTTGCTTAGGTCATGTGTTCTGAACGTCATAACTTCTTCATATGATCTCAGATTTTAACGATTTTTATATCCATGCGTTCGTATTTTAGTCTACTAAAACTTTCATTTACATTACTCCCGTTAAAAAGTAATATTATATCCCCACATTTTTTTATGAATACATGTATGGATGTTTTTTTTATAAAATCGTAAGTAAAAATAAATTGCATTTTAACAGGAGTAATCTTAACGAAAGTTGTAGTAGACTCAAAAAACGAACACATGGATATAAAGATTGTTAAAATATGATATCGTATGAAGAAGTTACGACGTTCAAAATACAAGACCTAAGTCAAACCACAAGACCTACGCAACCAAGCAGTCGATATCGCGATGTACATAAGCATCAACAACCCCAAACACATCATCAATGATTGTCTCACGTAAGAAATCATGAGAAGATTCTAACGAAATCATTCATAAGTACTTGTACAAAAATAAAAATGACTTATTTTGAAACAAAAAAAAATATTAAGGACTAAATATGTACAAAAATATTAAGGACTAAATGTGTACAAAATGATAAATATATTACCCTATTAAGTCATTTTTCTCGGGCTAACCTGGAGTAACCGGTCATAAGGACTGAATGTGTACAGTTTAACAAGTTGAAGGGGTAAATATGGACGAAAAAAATGTCAATGAGCAAATGTATACAAATCGAAAAATTTATTACCCTTTTAAGTCATTATGCCTATTTTTAAATCATATCATAAATCAATAATTAATTATCATGGATGTTATGTGACTACTAGATACAACATTAGAACACAATTATTTTTTTCTAGACAAGATGGTAAAAAAAATGGTCTTTGTGGTTGTTATAAATATATGGTTTCAATATAAAAATGTTTTGTGGTGTATCAGTGGTCCAATTTAGGATACATTATGAGGTTTTGGTCCTATGCTGTTAACTTTAACAAATTGACTGTTAAATTTTTTTTGAATGACACTTTTAGCCATAGAGACCATTCTGTAATTATGTCTTTTACCAAACCATAGTGGCAGATTCTACGTATCTTCTTTTTAAATTTATTGAATTATTGTAAATTATTTTTTTCTTTTTATTGGATTTTAAAATATTAATAAATATTAGTTTTAAAATATAATATTTATATATTAATATATAGTATTTTATTCTATTATTGACTTATTTGTTTTAATTTCTTTTTCATTGGATTAAATCTTTTTCACAGCATTACTATATATTAATAAATATTATTTTTAATATATACTATTTATATATTAATAAATATTACTTTATTGGAATATTAGGTTTTTTTAATTAATTCTTTTTTAATTTTATTTTTATTGCATTACTTCTTTTTAATTACTAATTTTTTAATTATTTTTTTGAATTATTATATATTAATAAATTCTTTTTAATTCTATATCTCTTCTTTTTAATTTTATTAAATTACTATTATTATTATTATTATTATTATTATTATTATTATATATATATAGATATATATCTATATCTATATATATTAAAGTTATGAAAGATTTTACAGTAAAGTGACCCTTTTTTGTCAATTTTGGTCCTCCAACTTACAACATTGACCCTTCATCTTTATGCTCTTGTTCATAAACAACCTTTTCACTTTGGTTTGAATTTTTCATAACCCTCTCCTTTTATTACATATTATTAGTATTTAGTCTTTTGGCAGAAATGGTCCCTCATCATTATTATTATTATTGTTAGACAAAATTACATGATTGGTCCCTGTGGCAGAAATGGTCCCATTGTAGCACCGACAACCCTATTTTTTTCGGACGTAATGTAAAAACTTTCGAATTTTTTGTTTTTTCTAGTATTGTGTCACTACGTAAAAAAAATTTGTCACCGATAATACCTACTATGAAATTTTGTATCAGCCTCTGGATTTTACATAAAACTTTTATATATATATATATATATATATATATATATATATATATATATATATATAATATATATATACACATAAAAAGTATATAAATATTATATTTTACTTATCAGGAATTAAAAATCTGATATAATTATTATAACTTTGCAATAAACAGATTAATTAACTAATAAATAGCAATTGAAATTATATATAACATAAAAGCTTAAAAATTGGGATAAGCAGTATACTTCTTTCTCTTTCCTGTTTTGCCACCGTAGTTCTTCTTCTCTTTCAAACGCCTGCCATCGAAGTTCTTCTTCTCTTTCAAACGCCACAGTAGATCTTATTCTTCTCTTCCTTCTTATCCCACTTTTCCCACCGCCGCCTCTTCCACCCAATCAGATGTTGCACCGCCATGGACATCATTCATTATCTTTCTCCTGTGATTAGATCTATTCTCATTCTGAAGCTCCCTTTCTTGGATATCAGTCGATAACCCTGCCCTCCTTTCTTCTTGGCTCTGCTGCTTCACCTCCGCTTAGACCAACGGTAGATAATTGCTTTGATGGGTTCCGATTTTGATTGTTCTTTACAAAGATGGAGGCAATGATGAAATTTGTTTGTGAAAACAGTTTGCACCGGCAACCATGGGTGAACTTGAAGGTCGTATTTTGGAAAGGCAACTCGGAAGGCATATCCGATTGGAATATGCAACCGGTGTTTGCAGCCATTCCGTCTTTCATCCCCTTTTTCTGAGCCTCGTCTCATTGAAAATCACTGTTATGATGCAGCCATACCGTCTTTCATCCCCTTTTTCTGAGCCTCGTCTCATTGAAAATCACTGTTATGATTTCCGATTTCCAAATTTCTGGTGTTTCTTTGTTCGTGTTTGTCTGTAGTTTTGGAGCAGGGTCGTTTGATTTCCCCCTGATTTCTAGGGTACGTAATTTCAACCTCTGCTTGTCTTCCCACCGCATCCAAGAAAAGGTAAGAAATTAATATTGTTGGTCAACTGAAAATTTCAAGGATAAGCAATTAAGATGTAATTTGTGGCCCGTCTTCTTAAATTGTCTGCTCTTTGGGGTACCAATACCATATCTAACAAAGTGGTCAAATCATTGCCTTTTTGCTTATGTCGGTACGGAGTCAGCGCCGACTGTGCTGTTGGTGTTCATCGACGGTGGTGGTGGGTCGGAGTGGCCATGTTTATGTGATAATTGCAATCATCGACCGTAAATAAAAAAGATAGATTCAGCCGACTTCTCCCATCAGGTTTACTTATGTATTTTATTTTTCGATTATTGTATTTGGGTTTTTAGGGTTCACTGTTTCACTTCTTTGATTTCTTTGTTTTTCCTGAAAAATAGATGGAACAGAATAGGGATAGATGATATAGAACAGCTTTAAGCCATGTAGATGTTTACTGATGTCGTTTTTTATGTTTGTATCTGGTAGTTAGGTGCTAAAATGAAAACAAGTCTGCCTTCTCCCCGTCCATTTGTCGCCTTTCAATACTATGTTGTGTTATTTCCCTTTTGTTTTCGATCAAATTGCATTTTTTATAACTAAATTGATTTATCCTCTTCGCTTTCCTAATATTTTGGTTGCTTCTGTTATATCTTCCTTTCCTAATATTTTGGTTGTTTTCACAGGATCTCACCTGGGATTCCAATATCAAATTCGATGGGGGAGGGGTAGGTTGTTTTAATCTGTTTATCTTTATTTGAAATTTTATCCGCTTACTTGGAACAAGGACCATAAACATAACCATAGTGAGGTAATCTCACTCTTTCTCTCTTCATCTCTAGGTTTAAAACTTTGAACAAGATCCAATTATACCTCACCCAGTTCATATTCAGCTTTGAAAGTGAGTTGCAGTATGCACCTCAACTGCTCGAGGAAATGATTGAACCAGGGTGATTAGAGCCGAGAAAGCAGAGGTAGGATTCAGTTCTTCTTTTTTCTTGATTTTTTTGGGTTTCATTTTGCAAGTTGAGAATTGTTACCAAGCTGAAAATGTTTTTTTTTTACTTTATAAGTTTTTTTTACTCTAATATAGTGTTCAAACCAGGTTTCTTTATAAAATAGGTGAAACAAGGAAGTTGAAATGCTAAAAGAGGGACAACATATTATACAGATTAGAGAGAGAGAAAGATACATATTGAGAAGAAGACGCGACCTTCCTATGTAGACACATATTATACAGTAGAGAGAGAGAAAAGAGATATATTTGAACGACAATGAGGGTATTTTTGTCATTTGACAAATAAAAACGAAGACTGAAATTAAATTTCTTCCACCCGATCTTACGAACAATGAAATCCATCAAACATTTATGGAATTTGATGGAATTGAATTTTGTCCATTTGGCAACTAAACAAACCATGGAATGGAATCACAAATTGCAATTCTCTCAGATTCCCTTAGAATCCGTGAACCAAACACGCCCTTAGTGAATTTTCTATTTTCCACATTTCACTCTTATAAAATTTTCAATTTCATTATTTCAACATATACGCCGAGGCTATTTGGGTCTTTTAACAAAAAAGGATGAATTCAATTTCCTCTTACCCACCATACGAATGGTGAAACCCTTAAAAAACCCAAATTTGAAGGATTTGGCAACCACACACGATTATAGCCATGGAATGGAATCTCCAATTCAATTCCATTGGAATCCACATACGAAACTCCTCCTTTAGTTTCATCTTCTAATAAACCAAAAAAAATCTTATAATTATTTACAACTCATGTAACAGCTGAATGAACTGTTGTTGATGCTTTCAAGCATACGGGTGAAAATATAGATTTTGGAAGTGGAAGCCTTTTTTAGTTACCGGTCAGAATAGAGCTCTCCCTCAAAAGAAACATAAGAGAAGGTCAAGACACAGCTCAGTTGCAGCACTAGATTTTGGTGATCTTGGAATCCAGGGGATTGGAATTTCAATAGGGAAGTTGGATTTATATGGTTGCTGCAGCTGGAATAAACCCTCAAAGAGTTTTTCACACTGATTTAATCTCACTACTTTAGTGTTCCTCTGAATATATATATTTATGGGTTAAAGGAGGATGCTATAAGCCACAAATAAACAAAGATATGTTGTTATTTCTTGAAAATAGCTACATACTTCCATTTATTTGTTTATTATAGCATTATACTTTTGTTTCTTCCTGTTATTTTTCTTTAATCCATAATCATTTTTTCTTTTTATCAAAACAGGTGCTTCCTATTATGATTGATATTGGAACCAACAATGAGGCCCTTCTTAAAGACCTTTTGTGTATGATTCTTCCAATACTTTCCCTATTCTATAATCTTCACATATAATTGTTAATTATTTTAATAGCTTATTTTCACGATAATGATAATAGTTCCATTTTTTTTATAGATTTACGATTGCAACATCGTCTTGATGGTGAAGAGTACATTGCTGGTATTGATGAATTTATGGAGGCTGTGTTCACACGTTGGCCCCACGTGATAGTGCATGTAATCTTTTCCATCAGGAAAGTGTTTTAAATTGTTTTTCAAATAGGGAAGTGATATTGCCACAGAAACTTTTTATACTTCCACTGGAAAATAATACTGATTGACAATTTTGCCCTTCTTACTTTAGAGAGAAATACCAATGTTCTCTAAAAAAACACAAGATCTTCAAGCTGATATCAGAATTGGGATTTGACCTACGAAATTCTCACCTTAAAACAAAAAACGAGTATTTTACATAACAGAGCTAACATCACTCAGACGTCAATTCTCGCCGAGGCGTTGAGGTCCAACTGGACGTCGCCGGAGTACAAACATATCCCGGAAACGGACTTGCACTCGAATGGGTAACTCACTAAGTAGGTTGCCGTCTTCGTCATAATAGATTACACACCGGAAATACAGGGGCTGATATTTATCCCCTATCAGTACTCTCTTCCGTCAGCCCGTCGCCTCCGTGCTCACCTCCTTCTTCTCATGTTCTCTTCATCCGATGGCGCAACTTGATCGCTTTGTTGCTTATGGAGGAAATTAGTTTCTTCGGCATCCCCAAATAGATCTTTGTATTGTTGTTCAACTTTTTCGAAGCTATAATCGTTTGCTTAGCATAGAGAAGCAGCATAGATGTTATCGATTGCAAAACGCCGGTGAACATATGCTTAGCCTTGACATCGCTGGAGCTTGCGTCGTCGTTACCGGGTTTGCTCGCCATGTCGGAGGAAGGGCTGTGATTTGATTCCAATACGAGGGAGGATGAGGGAATACATATAGGGAGGTGATATTGCCATTGCAACAAACGAATAAAGAAGGCTACATGGTGGTAAAGTTTGAACCTTAATATGGGAAATACAAAATCAATCAAATCCAATCCTTTTGTCGCCATGGCTGTGACGAAAGGTAGTTTATTGATGTATATTTATGACGAGGTCTCCTTTGCTTTGAGTGATATAAAGTGGTCTTCCAGATATGGGATGCTTATTTGAAAACAGAAGCTACTAAGGTTCATTTGTTTTCAATTCTTAATTTGTATGATCACGCTCTGAAACTCCAAACGATTCCTCCATGGGATGTGAGATTATGGTGGAATACAAAGATGTTTTGAAAATATAATTTTCTTTCAATAAAAAAATACTATTTTATAGGAGTAGTTATTATCCTGGATTTATGGTGTGCGTTTTGAAAAACTAAAACAGGTTGCTTTCTTTTAAGTAAATAGGGGCAAAACTGTCAATTCATATTTTTTCAGTGGAACTATCAAAAATTGCCGTGGCAATATCACCACCCTTTTCAATAATGTTAATAAAAATGGATTCTTGTGGGACAATGAACAATAAGTAATTTTAAAATCTTGTAATCACCAATTTCAAATTTGATATGTACTTTAATTAAATTTACCAACTGAATTGTACCTTTGATCTTACGCTACAATAACGTAATGTTAGATTAACTTTTATAGTAAGTTACAAAAATGGTCCTGTGTTTTTGAACTTTATCGTATTTAGTCCAAAATCGAAACCTTTTCCAGTTTTGGTCCTGATTTCAATGTTTCATATCGATTTTGATCCCTGGAACCTAGAAATAAGGACTAAAATGGATATAAAACCTTAAAATAAGGAGCAAAATCAGAAGTTCTATATACCAAAATTGATATGGAACTTTGAAATAAGGACAGAAATTGAAAAATGTTTCAGTTTTGAACTAAACGTGGTAAAAATATCAGTGGTGAAGATATTGCAATAAGTTTATGGAAAGAATTCACCAGCACAGCTTGCAAATCCGTTGTGCATTTTAATTCCAGCACCACAGCGCCAACGGCGCACTGATTCCATTCTAGTTAAAAACAAAAGATAAAAATTTAACCACGACTTGCGAGTTGCCACATGTACAATTGGCTACCTCTTTTCTCTTGATCGTGACCAAGATATATTTTTATTTTCCTTTTTACAATTTGGCAATCATTGTCCTATTTTTCAGCATAGTCATTTATTTTTATTGTGAAAAATCTATTTTTCATCAAATTTTACACTCTAAAACAAAAAGGCCGAGTTCGAAGTTACTAATCAACGATTTTCTACTTTTCAATAATTTTTATGCCCCTGTAACAACCTCATCAAAGAAAACTTTGACACCCACAAAACACGGTGATCTTAAGATTAGAAGAGACTGTAAGACCAAACTGTATATATTGCACGAGATCGTCTGTGGTATTTGTGGTCACGAACTACGATCGTGCACACCGTCCCGGTGTGTCGTCATGAGTTGTGGCCATGGCGATTCGTAATAGCTACGACTATGGTACACGACCAATAGAAACAAGGCTGCCAATTCGACCGTTCATCAGTCATTTTTTTGAAGTTTTTAATTTTTTTTTTTTACAAACTCATTACTTATATAAACACAATACATAGCCCTCACATTTCATCAAATTTTACACTCTAAAACAAAAATACATGGATTTCTTTAAAAATTTTGACTCGGATGATGACGGTGAATTCATTTCGACCTTCTTCAACGTTGTGCAACATATTCACGATGAAGAAAGTTCGAATGTTGTGCGTTCAAGAGCGGTTTCAATCGTGATCGCAAGCCGCACACGACTTATTGGTACGTGATTACTCTGCTGATAATTGTTTTTACAATGATGACTCGTTCGAATGTCATTTCCATCTAAATAAGGCTATATTTTTACGTATTCGTAATGTTTTAGAGGTCCGTTATGATTTTTTTAAACAAAAACCTGATGCTAGAGGAAGAATGAGTTTTTCTAGTGTACAAAAATGTACGGTTGCACTTAGGTATTTGAGATACGGTATAGCATTTGAATGATTTGATGCATTCGACGAGTAGTTAAAGGTATCCGAAAGGACCGCAATTGATTATCTAGATTGATTTTGTGCATATGTGTATGAGGTTTTTCACAGAGAATATTTGCGCAAATCTACTCCTCGTGATATTGAGAGATTATATTTGGCTCATGAAGAGAGACATGAATTTTCGGGTATGCTTGGTAGTCTAGATTGTATGCATGTGGTTTGGAAAAAAATGTCCAAATGTGTGGCGAGGTGATATAGGTGAGCCAACTATAATACTAGAAGCTGCTGCATCTCAGGATTTGTGGATATGACATTCGTTTTCTGGAGTTGCAGGGTCTAACAACGACATTAATGTTCTTGGTCAGTCTCCTCTTTTCAACGATATATTGACCAGCAAAGCACCTAATATGTCCGTTCACGGTGAACGGGCATTCATACAAATACAATTACTACCTTTGTGATGGGATATACCCTAATTATTCTACATTTATGAAGTCATACTCGGTTCCTTGAAGTGAAAAGGCAAATTTGTTCACAAAAAGGCAGGAATCAGCGAGAAATGATATCGAGAGGGCATTTGGAGTCCTCAAGCAAACATGGAATGTAGTGAAACCGCTACATAACTTTGGGATAAAGATAGAATTAAACAAATGGTCGAAACATGTATTATAATGCATAATATGATTATTGAAGATCAATGTCAAGCGATTTGCACATATTATCCGGACGACGTTGTCATCCCGATTGAAGAACTCATACCCAGAACGCTTGAATTTTTAACACGAGTTGTTGAAATTCATAACAGTGAAACGAGTTTGAATCTTCAAAAAGATGCAGCGGAGCATTTATATCAACTTAACATGAAAGAAGATTAGTTTTTTTTTATGTTTGTTTTTTTATTCTAGGTTATTTAAGTATTATAGTTTTTAATATTAATGTAATGTTTCTTTATTATTGAATGAAAAACTATTTTTTTTTTTTTAATTTTGAAGTTGTATTTTTATTGTATTTTTGAATTAAAAAAATAAAAAAAAAAATTATTTGGGGTGGAATGATAGTGGTGGGTATCCTATAGGTTTAATAGTAGTTATTGGTGATGATGTGACACTCACCACTATAATAGTTAGTGGTGGGTATAAGGTTGGTGGGCATGGGCTCAGAGTACATGTCAAGGAGGGCATTAGTTCATGATGTTGAGACGCATCATGTTCTTCGTAGGAACTTGACAGAACATATTTGGAACGTCGACCACATCGATCTTAACGTAGAACCGGTCGACGATTTGGAAGGTCAATTTTCCGATGAAGATATCATTTAGGTCTATCTAGGTTTGGTAATTTTAGTTTCTACGTTTTTTAATTTTAAATTCTTTTTTTTTTTTTTGAATTTGTTGTTTTTTCTTAATTTCTATGTTTTTATTTTAAGTTTAATGAATTTTTAGTTTTAAAAAAATGTTACATTTGAAATATTTATTTTGTATATTAAAAAAAAAACAACATGACAATAATGGCGACCCGCCCCTAGCAAATGACAAAATTTTGGCTAAAATAAGCAAGTATAACATAGCGCCTAGGTGGATCACCACACTCACTAGCCTAACGGCTTAAGCTGTGAAGGAAACCATCACTATTTAATTGGTGGCGTTATTATTGGTGTTGTTAAGACATTTAGGTTATCTATTTCCAAAATTGAAGTTTAGTTCTGCTTATGAAATGGCGTTTTCGTTTTCTATCCTTAAGTGACTATATAACAAATAAGCACTTTGTGTATCACTACCTTCAATATGTTACGTAGGAGTTTTTCTTTCCATGGCATGGCCGTTAGATTACAAGAAAAATAAAAGCAAAACAAGATCACCAAATCAAAAGAGACCCTTTTAAGCGTTATTTCGAATCAATTAACCAGGAGTCTCCCAAGGGTCCAAATGGATTATATATCTAATTACCAACAAAATAACATCTAAAACACAATATTTAGATTCCAATTCCGATTCCGATTCCGATTCCGTTTCTGATTCCGGTTCCGATTACCCTATTACAAAACCACCTACTCAAATGCTGATGCCGGCAGACCCGCAGGATCAAGCTCATACGACCCCTTCGGAACACCTTCCCGTTCTTCCCCCTCATCCTACAAGACGGAACCAAATGCGAAAATCTATACTTATCACGCTCCGGAATCACCATCTCCCCATCCTCTTTCCGGCCAAAAAGACATCGGAATCCAGCCAACTCACCAAATACGAAACCCGAAACCCAATACCCTCATCATAATTTGATAAAACCTCAACAAACTCGTATTCATACTTTCCGGTTCCATCATTAGACCAGTTTATATTCCAGTCTTTAAATAGGGCCCACGTCTCGCCTTTTCTCGGAACTATATTGAAAATTCCCTTTTTACCCTCCTCCCAAGTCACCAAATGTGAAAACATCGGAAGATCTTCCGCTTTATCGGTTTTCCCGCGTTTAAATTCCCGCAAGAAACAGGCAATTCTTCCTCAACCCAATTCGTTTCATCATCGGTTTCTGGAACCGGTTTCAGCCATGTGATTTGTAGGCTAAAACCCGGCGATTGAACCTTCCGGATATAAGCATAGAACCTGGGCATCGCATCCTCGGTATCATAAAGCGCCCATATCTGCCCAGGGGTAAAACTGTCTTCTTTTCTGTCTTTTTCAAAGTCGTTAAACTCCGGATCAGGACACTCAAAAACTTCCGGATCCGATTCCGGTTCATCTTCTGCTTCCGGTTCCGGTTCCGATTCTGATTCCAGGTCCTCAACATCGCCTTTCTTACCATCGGAATTAGAATGAGATTCTTGATTTTGACTTTCTTTGACCGGTTCCCGAACCTCCGCTTCCCAAAACATATCTTCGGGTTTCGGTTTTGCAGTACCCGAGTGTGGGGCCCGCTTTTTTGACGGAGCGGCCTCGTCATCATGATCATGATCGTGATCATTATCATTTACATTTTCTTTATACGATACGTTTCTTTTCGGGCGTGCGGATCTCCGAGGCTGTTCACCAACACGTCCAGAATCTTGATTTTTTTCAGGGGCATTTTCGTCCGATTCCGTGCTGTTTTCATCTCCGGAATCTTCATCTTCATCTTCCTCAGAGCTGCTCGTACCGTTGTCAGAACTTTCACTCGATTCGTCCACCTTCTTTTTCCGTTTCTTGTTCACATTTTGCGTCTCGGTTGGTTTTGATTTGGATTTGGTTGGAACCGGAACCGGAGTCGGAATCGGAGTCGGAACCGGAATCGTATTCCGTTGTGGAACCGAAGGCGGAGGAGCATGTATGTTCAATTCATAAGCCGTGAAAGCCTTCTTACAAGTTTGACAATGAACCGGTTTATTCAAAACATCATCTCGATAAAACTGATACCGAACCGAACAAAACGGGCAAAACCGTCCAAAACGTTAACCGGACCGCACTACCCCCGGGCTTCGCGCGCTGAAACTGAAAGCTCCCGGTCCCGGGACCAGAACCGGAACGCCCTCCGGTGAAATTATCCCCTGCAAAATTACCAGAATGCCCTTGCG